TGATGTTATCAATGCCATGCGCTGCACTTACCATACCAAGGAGCACACCTTTGGGCTACAGAGCCTGTGCTGAGCTTCTTCGGACTCAGACTTGAGTTAAAAGAAGAACGGAGCACTAATGGGTTACTACCCGTGTGCTATGATGTTGATCCGTTGTTCAAACCAAAAACCAATGCATGTATACAACAGAACAGAAAGTTTTCATTAGTTTAAATGAAAGGATATTTTATTGGAAACAACTCGTGACCAATCAGCAGGTTCAGTACAGAATTCCCCGTGTGGGTTCCGATGCCCTATTATAGGGAAAACAAGAATAGACCCACTGCCTACCCAAAAGCATGTTGTAAGAGTCGACTAATTGGGAGCTTCCTTCGAAGTTGGAGTGCATCTGCCTGAGAGGCAAGGAACCAGCAGTCTGCATACAAATGAGTCAGATCTGTAAAACGGATGTACACCCAACACTCAGGTTTTGGAGCAGGACTGCAGTCCAGAAGTGGATGAACAACCAGAAATTTCCGCCAGAGTTTACAGCTGGTGACCGCGAAGAAGAAGAAGAAGAAGTACAGAATGTTGCTCTCCAGCCAATTCTTCTCTAGCCCATGTGCTTTAATTGCCAACACATCTTCACTGTCTTTTATCCATCTCTGTGGAGGTCTGCCTCTGCCTTATTGTCCAGAAACGCACCGTCTATCATCATTCTCTCCAGGCTACCATGATGTTTAACAAGGCCAAAATACCTCTGCTTTGGGACAGAATGCTGCTCATAAGCCAGTTCTTCTCGATGCTATGATCATGTAGGATACCAGTGTTTTTCTTCCACTTCTCCTTCTACAGCATTTAGACTTTTGAGGTTCAATGCTGCAGACACCACCCGCCTCCATTCATCTCTCTGGCTGGCCTTCTCTTTCCAGTCGGTGACGCCAAGTGTTTGCAGGTCTGATTGGATATTATCTCTCCGTCGTCTTTTTGGTCTGCCTTGTGGTCTACGACCATTCATTTCCCTTGTATATACAGTTTATACTTCTCTGTCATCTGACATTCTTTCAATATGCCCCAACCATTTCACTCTATTGGCTCTCATGATGACAGTGATCAGTGGTGATTTAAACATATTTCTTCCTCTTGGTCCACGGTATTTTAAGAATTGTTCGATAGCATTTCAGTTCAGAAGCATACCAAATAAGTGTTCAAATAATCTGAGGTGTAGTACAATAAATTAATCTGAACTGCGTGTAATACAATTAAATTATGAAACAAAACAAAAACAGCAGTGGAGAAAACACATGTAGTGAAAATTAGCAGTCAACAAGGAAGAAGATTTTAAAAACGTGAGCAACAATGTAAACTAAATCAAACAAACAAACAGCAACACTTAAAACAAAAATCCCATCTACTAGCCCACAAGTAAAATGGCTGCTCTTTAACAGATTCGCCTGCAATGACATCCAGTTACTTTGTAACCATCGAAGAACCTAATTTAACCTAACCGTTGAAGGGGGCTTACAGAGATTTGTATAAGTGGGATTCTCACCCATGAGGTGTTAATCCTGCAGTCTGCAATCCTGGAGAATACAAACTGCAAGCAAGCAGATCCAAACAAAGACCCCAACAGTCATGTGGGTTTTAATCTCTTTTGAGACAGCGATTTTTTTTTTCCATTTACTTTACTTCCAAGTCATCATAAAATAAAAACCAGGAATTTCTCAAGAAGTAAAGGCAACTAGTATCATACTACCACATCAACTACAGAACAACATCATCATCAATTTCCACTTCTGTCCTTAAGTGTTGTGGGGAGGAACAGTTTGGGATCCATTGCTTGATGGGCAGCATTAGCTACTGCTATTCTGTGATGATGTAAAAGCTCTTTAATATCATCGATCCATCTTCTTCTAGGATGGCCTCTTGCTTTCACTTCAGATCTTTTCATGTATCTATTGAGTGTCATGGAGTCCATTTTTGTTTGAACATATATCTCCTCCTTAGATGGAGATCTCATGTTAAAGCAGCGGCTCTCAAGCTGTGGGTCCCGACCTTTTTGGGGGGTCCAACGACCATTTTACAGGGGGTCGCACAAGACCATCGGAAAACACATATTCAACAAAATAGCAACGGAACTAATTTTATGGTTAGGGGTCACCTCACCACAACAACAGGAACTGTATTAAAGGGTTGCGGCATTAGGAAGGTTGAGAATCACTGTGTTAAAGACTGTGTAAACGCATTTCAGAATCAACTGTTTTATTCCTGAAATATGTACAAAGTACACTTAACCTAGCTCAATAATAAGGGCATTCTAACACAAACTAAAATAAAACCTTAAACCATAATTTTTTTTAAACACATCAACAATTACATACACAATCAGCAGATCTCAGCAAATAAAATGATTGGGGGATAAAAATTATCACATACTTCTTGAACGTATAAACATATACCTTGACAGATGTAAGAATCTCAGATTTTAATAACAGTTTATGAGCCTGAATGCTGTGTATTCTCAAAACTTTACATATTTCTAAATGATTTCATATAATTCTAATTCAGTATTCCACATAAGAAAAAAAATTAAAATATTCAGTATTTCAAAACTTTCTAAAAAAAATATTATACTTTTACATGTTCAAAACAGATCAGTATTTTATAAATTACACAGGTTAACTGGTTTTATGTTTCAACCTATTTATTTTAAAATAAAGAAATATTTTACAGTCTAAAAAGGTAAAGTTGGGAGATGTGAACCAGCGCCATTGCACATGGTTTTAAACCATAAGTGCTCTGCCACCAGTACGGTCAGCTGATAAGAAACTGTCCACCTGTGTTGCCGTCTGCACGCAACTCCATAGCTACAGCGACATTCCTCCATTTACCCCAGAGTGTTAACTCTGGTACCCATTACCTAGAGATGGGTGAACACCGGGAACCGTCCGGTTTCGAACAACTACCTAAGCCTTCTATAGAGATAACCTATGATAAGGCCAAAAGATTTATCAGAAGTACAAACAGAACGACAAGAGGGTTGCTGCGGTACTGAAGCAACCTTATCAGGACAGGTGCTCCTACTGGTCAAGACGTATCTACATCTCTCGGTGGTCATCCTTGAAACAGGAGGGAACCTAGCAAATCTAGAGAAATCAATATTTCCTTTCGAAGTCAAAGTACATCTGGCTAAGAGGTGAGGAATCAACAGTCTGCACACAAATAAGAGAGATCTGTAAAATGGATGTGCCTGCCACTCTTAAATCCTGGAACAATAACAAAGCCCAGAAGTGGACAAACAACATGGATGTTCTGCCGGAGTTTACAGCCAATTGACAGGAGGAAGAACCACAACCAACTCTTCCGAACAGAACAGCTAACAATCTTCAGACTCTGTACAGGACATAACAGGCTGCACCTATTTGTTCAATAACAAAATGTAGAATATACTGATGAATAAAGCTGGTGGTTAAATAATTGTTAACAATTTACTGCGAGTCCACATATGCAATGCACAGGAAACTATTTTGGCCAACATTACCATATTTTAAGGACAAACTGTGGAGACTTCAATAAGTTCAAATTGACTGATGTTTTCTGTTAGTTTATTCTGAAGGTGAACATAGAAGAAGAGATACTCCTACCACATATATCAACATGCAATATGATGATACAATTATGATTACATTTTAAAAATGCGTCTAAGATGAGCAAATATAAACTCAATGTAGAATATAATAAATGAGGATTTTAGTCAAATACACAGAAGTGTGAAAGCATGATCATTTTTAAAAACTGATTTTCATGTGTTTTTCAGTAACTTTGCTCGATAATATAACTTCACAAATGTTTCAGAATTCTCATCATTTGATATGAGCGCCTTCCATACATTTTTACAAAGAAAAAAATCTCGAAACAGAGGAAAGTGACATGCAAACTGTGTTATCTTGAAATCCCCTCAACAAAAGAGTATTTTGGAACTGTTTCAACTTGACAATAGTAGCTATACTGAGCGCAAGATGGTGCAGTTAATGATGGAATAATCTACTCAGCAATGTTCAATAAGTCAGGCTAATACAGAGATTGATACTTTGATTTGAATCTGCCTAAAGGAAGAAAATGTCAAACAAACTATTGTCAAAGCCAGACACTGACCTTTGAACTAGAGAAGATGTGTGACACATTCCACTCAAAAGAGGGGGAGGGGGAGAGAACAACATTTTGTTAACGACTTCCTATTCAATTATCTTTACAAATGGATATGATTCATGAGCTTTCTGGCAATTTATAAGTATAGAATAACACGTGGTCCAAGTAATAACAAAAGCTCAAAAATCCAGCTTATTTACTGCAGCAGGTTTCACAGTTTTAGAACTCTAAAATATCACATGTGAAAACTTCATGTTTAAAAACTACAGCATCAATCATCTCTATGTGTACTGTTTAATTATTTATTTTGAAAAGTGCAATGTGCAGGCTGTCAGAAAAATTACTATATATGACATTATTATCCCTACAGAAAACAGACTGGTGGTTTTAAACTAAAATCATCAAGTGCCTTGCCAACTGGCATGGGTGATCATGGGTCTCTACAACCTGTGTTCCTCAACAGCATTAAAACTAACAAATTCACAACTATAGTATTGTCCTAACTGCTAAGCTATCTAAATATGTATATGTTTTTTATCCTAAAATTTTGATCATAACAAAATGCTCATGATTAATATATGGCAATAACAAGTCAATCGCCTCAGATTGTTTCCAATACAATCAGTCATAACTGGCAGCGCTTGGGAAAGTTAATAGACCATTTGACACAATTTAATATGTTGCCGTATTTCCTATTTAGCCTCTATACTGTACAATCTACCACATCACAAACGCATTACTCATATTCCGCAATATCAAATATAATTTATTTTCATCATTACGACAATAAAGCTGTCTCGTTAAGCAATAAACATAAATTGTTCCAAAACTGTAGGACGAATAGTGACACTGTCTTAAGTGCCTCTAGTGCATCAACTGATCTTCTTCCTTTCCTTGCCATAAATAGAGTCCAGGCCGAGCCCTATAAACACCAGCAATGTGCCGATCCACTGTCGGCCCGACATGGGGTTCTGGAAGATGATGACAGAGGTAAGGATTGTGAAGAACTTGCGGGTGGTGGTGATGATTGAGCAAGTCAGGGGGCCGAATGATGTGACCGTGATGAAGATAAACATCTGCAATAGAACATAATCATAGTTAATTTCTAAACTTCCTGCTACTTTTGCAGTCATTAGTTTTTCAATAATGTGATGAAAGGTTAACAACAACAACAACAACAACAAAGGATGAAATCATTAAAACATAGTTTTGCTGCTTGGATCAGGACACCAGAGTTAACCAGGACCCTATTCTGTCACCAAGTATGGTACTGAAAACAGACTGCAGTCTAGCCAAAAACAAAAATTTTTCTTCTCTGAGCCTTCTGTCAGAAAATTTATACCAGGAGGCAGGAAGCCTTGATGAAAGCTATTGTGCAGTCTATATCTTCCTATATACCATAGAGCTTTGTCTTCACTAAGCTTGGAACAGGCCACAGTATTTCTCTGTCAGCAGCATACAGTTGACAGTGTTGGAGTACAAGCTGGTGCCAAGTTGCAGGGACATCTCAATGTTTCCTAAACTGAATAACTTGAACATATGTTGGCAAAGACTGTTGTGCGATCCTTAGTCTGAGAATGACACTGTTCCTTTCTAGAAAAGGCAAGTCTTGGAGAGAATATTTGGTATGGGTACCAAGTCACCTATCTAGGACAAGAATGGATCATTATGTCTTCACAAAAACAAGTTATTAAGCTTCTTGTTCATTACGCTTAATTTTGACAGACATTTCTTGTCAGTTTGCCTTCTTTAGCTTCTGGTTATTCAGTCTACTTTTACAGTTATATTTTGTCTGGTCTTTATCCCATGACCCACCTGACCTGGAAGAACCTACTAAAACAAGTTGGAGACACAGAAAACACATCAGAAATTGAAGCCAGACAGTAAACACAATCTAAAAAATAAGTTACTGAATCTAGAGGCACTACAAATATTCAGTTTCCCTGTCACACACACAAAGTAAAAGCAATCAATGTCTTTTCAGGATAATAATAAAAAAAAAGAGGAAGAAAATTAAAACTTACTTGTCCTAAAGCAGACGCCAAGCTAAAACTAATCATGTGGAATAAAACAGAAGGATGCCGACTAGCAAAAGGTATAAATTCAAATATCTCTCCTGTGACCACTAGACCTGCAAAAAAAAAAAAAAGAATGATTACTGTAAACAAAGTTTTAAAAAACACACATGCAATATTTTCCTTTGGGTGTACAAGTATTTGTGCGTATATGCTTTTGTGTAATATACCAATGCGACATTAAGGTTAAATTAACATGTTTAACAATTTCATGATCCTGGAGTGCTAGGGTTCAGATCTGACGGGTAATTGTTTTTTAAAAAAAGTTTCTGGTGGTTACCAGATAACCACTGTGTATAAAACCCAAGAGCCTAACCATGTAAAACATTCTTAGTGACAGCATCATCATCATTTAGCAGGTCCTTTGCAAAACGTGGCTCTCATCACGGTCTGCTTGAAAGAAACTCTGTCTCTTGCCAGCTCTCCCACCTCATGAACTTTCATACTCAAGGAGTCACTTATATCCTGTGCCCATCTTCGTGTTGGTCGGCCCCTGCCCCTTTTTCCTGGTACCATGCCTTCTGCTATTATTATTTTTTCCTATCCATTGTAGCGCTTGATATGACGAAAATATTTGAGCTCCTGAAACAGAATACTGTTATTAGCCAATCTTCATTGATGTTCAGATCTTTCAAGATGTCAGTATTTCTCCTCTTCTTTTGTCCAAGATATTTTGAGAATCTTTCTATAGCATTTCAGCTCAAAAGCCCTATTTTCTTTCTTAAGGACTTAGTGACAGCAGTAGGCACATTTTAGACAACCTTCACTGTTGGGTGGGGCATTAAAAAAACCTCCAATAATTTCACTAATTAATATCATCTGTAATAACAGGCATAGACCAGACAAGGGCTATTCCAGCAGGTTTACTCAGGGGGCCAACAACGGTGTAAACAGTGATCATCATGGGCCAGACACCCCAGCCCCTGCAGAGAAAAATCATTAATAAAATTACAACTGGCAAGGTCAGTGGGCCACTTGCTAGGCCTCAGCGGGCCAAATTTAGGCCTGCGGGCCGCCAAGTGAATAGCTCTGGTAAAGATGATACACACAAATGTGCATATATGCATACATAATCAGGTGCCTTGCCCACTGGTCTGGTATCGATACTCTTTGCCATTTTTAACAGCTTGTATCACGTTGTGTGTGCTACACCTTCCAATATCATGATAGAAGCCCTTCAAGCATCATCTCTTGTTCCCCACCATCTCTCTACAAATCTCTTTACAAAAGTTCCTATTATTTTCTTCGTATGTGTTCCAGAAATAAAACCACTCCTTTCTAAAGCTTGTGACAATCTGTCTTTGTGCCTTGGCTATTTTCAAAATATCATTCGGCAAGGCACTTGAAGAAAGATGACTGAAAGCACTACTGTTGTTGTTCATCCACCAAAGCGATGACGACCATTCCTTTTTCTCATCCATTAGCAGGAAGGAGGTTTACGAATCCACAGATGGATGATAAGATCAAACCTGGCATGGTCAGTACTTGTGCAGTGTGAGCATGGCATTTGGGCCACATCAGTCTGCAGATTCAGCTCACGGGCTTCTCGGATTATTTTTTCTTAACTGCTGCTGCAATTCTGGCTGTTTCTCATGCCGCTGCTGTCCCTTGATGAGGAGATGAGCCCCAAGATGAATGGTTGTATGCAGTGACCTCCCAAATATTGGAATCAAGGCCCAAAGTCTTCAATCAGACATTTAGACTGAAACATTGCAATATTAGCACCTTATTAGAGAGACAGCCAGAATAAGACAGTGTCTGAAATATACTGACAGACAAAGAATGAAATGGTTTGAGCCATCCAGTGAGAATGCAGCCAGACCAAACTCCATTCGAGATTTTCTACAGGGAGGAAGGAGAGGAGAAGATCAAGAAAGAGATGCATAGCGGTGAAGCTGAAACCTGCAAAAAGCTAAATAAATCTATCACCCATGACACCCGAGAGAAGTGCAAGACAAATATAGAAAACTATGACACTGGTGTGACTCGAAAAGGGAGTAGATAAATGCCTACGAGTGGAACAAGCAGGATTCAGAAAGGGCAGAGGAACAGCTGAGCATATCTTTACTCTACGTAACATTTTAGAACATGCAATGAATGGCAGAGAAGTATATATATTAATTTTGTGGACTTTGAGAAAGCTTTTGACAGCGTCCATAGAGACAGTCTCTGGAAAATTTTACATTATGGAATTCCAGAAAAGATAGTCAACATAATTGCTCTCTTCTATAAAGACTTTTCCTGCATTATCAAAAATTACAATACATCTTTCCCAGTAAAGACAGGTGTAAGACAGGGATGTGTTATGTCAGCCCTCCTCTTCAACCTTGTGACTGATTGGATACTAAAGAACACAGTAGACAAGACATTGAGAGGCATACAATGGACTTCATTCACTATACTTGAGGACCTTGATTTTGCAGATGATATAGCACTCCTATCACATAAACATGAACATATACAAGAAAAAAGTAGCAGACTACACAGCACAGCAGAAATGATTGGACTGAGAATAAATACAAGGAAAACTAAGATCATGACAAGCAGTCCAAACCAACAACCAGTGACCATAAATAACCAAACACTTGAAAATGTAGAACATTTCACATATCTTGGCAGTGTGGTGTCCCTACTGGGAGGGACAGAGGAAGACTAAACAAAGCTAGAGCTGCTTTTGGAAGGATGAGGCAAATCTGGAAATCCAACAGTTACTGCAGAGGAACGAAACTTCGACTCTACAAAAGCATTATTTTACCAGTTCTTCTTTATGGAGCAGAATGCTGGAGAATGACCAAAAAGGATGCACACAAGCTATCCACCTTCCACCACACATGTCTACGTAGAATTATCAAAATATTATGGCCAGATACAATCTCAAACACTAAACTATTTAAAGTCACAAACCAAGAAACTCTAGACAGTACGATAACCAAGAGAAGATGGAAATGGCTTGGCCACGTTATGAGAATGAATCCTGATATACCTGCCAAAACAGCTCTTACATGGACACCAGTGGGAAAGAGAAGGAAGGGGCGCCCAAAAACAACATGGAGACGAACGATGGAAAGTGGCCTGAGTGCGGCATCTCTGACATGGAAAACTGCATTGAAGATTGCACAGGACAGGAAAGCATGGAAAGTCCTCTCTGAAGCCTCATGTGCCACTGGGCATAAAGAGAACTGATGATGATGATGACACTGGTGGACTACAACCTAGTAACAGTGAGATGACACTAGAAGAAAAGACAATATATAACAATGCTCACCTATAGCCAGCCATATAACTGAGAACACATTTATAAACAGCATCATACTGTTTGCCCCTGTCTTGTAGCTTGACTTCATCTTGTCCTGGGAGGCTCCGGTCAAACCATCTAGGGTCAATGAGACCAGCTGTTGATATGAACATTTTCAGAATTTAAAAAAAAATCCTGCACATTTTTTGAGGAAAGCTTTCTTCTCTCTACAGCCCATACCATAGGGCATCAGTCCCCCGTGTGGTTTCTAGGGCCCCATTGTGGGGAAAACAAGAATAGACCCACTGCCTCCCCAAAAGCATGTCGTAAGAGTCGACTAATTGGGGAGCTTCCTTTGAAGTCGGAGTGCATCTGCCGGAGAGGCAAGGAACCAACAGTCTGTATTCAAGAGAATGAGATCTGTAAAACTGATGCACACGTAACACTCAGGTTCTGGAGCAGGACTGCAGTTCAGTAGTGGACGAGCAACCAGAACTTTCTGCCAGAGTGTACAGCTGGTGAATGCGAAGAAGAAGAAGAAGAAGAAGAAGAAGAAGAAGAAGAAGATAGGGCATCAGTAATTATGTTTATTCATATCTTCTGTGATGTGTAAAAGCTTCTACTTCTTTTTCTTCTTAGCTCTGACTGGCTATAAACTCAGGTGCAAAGTTCTGGTTGTTTCTCAAAATAGAAGGATGACGCCACAGGAAGGAATTAACACAGAGCATAAAAGTATATCTCCATGTGTGTGTGTGTGTGTTGGGGAGGGGGGGGGTGGTAAAAAGAGAGAAAGAGAGAAAAAAAGAGAGAAAAAGAGAGAAAGAGAGAAAAAAGGAGAGAAAGAGAGAGAGAGAGAGAGAGAGAGACAGAGAGAAAGAGAGAGAGAGAGAGAGATCTACAGTGCTTCAGATCTGAATCTTCACTGCGGAGCTGGCAACTGAACCCATCTAGGACCAGGTTTTGATGAAACTTACCAGGAGAAACTCCCCAGTTCCAAAGAAAGGTCGATCACTTGTTGTTGTTGTTTTCTGATCCTTATACATAAACAAGGCCACCCCGGAGACAATCAGCAGCACACACAAGTATTTGGCTAGCGGGTATCTCTTGGCAGCAAGGATGACTCCAAGCACCATCACGGGTATTGGCTTCACAGATTTGCCCAGCACCTATAGACAACAAGAACATTAAAACAATAAGAATACAAACAATACTCTGCATGGCATTTTTAAATATTGTCAGGTGCATTACTATAGTTTACATTAACATATAGGCCCAAAATGGAATCCTTTAAAATAAAATACACATATCATATTGCCTCATGTTACGCTGTACATCTCATCACTCAGAGTCTAAGCCTGACCACATGTTCACTAAAGAAGTCTAAGGTTAACCACATGATCCTTTTGTTTACATAATATGAAATCATCCATATTAATTGCCACTGCTTCTGCCAACTTCTAAAAACGCATTTTCAGTGTTTCATAAAGTAAGAAAATTGTAGGGATGTTTCTAGTGTCATCGGGTTTGTGACTTTAAATGGTTATAGTGTCTGTTATAAAATTCTAATGATTTAGATCTATCAAACAAGATGTTATTCATTTTATAAAATGCAGTGTTTGTCATTTTACTAACTGTCCAGGATTCACGGTTTTGTATGAAGTAACAGTGACCTATTGCACAAGATGTTCTTCGTCCTAATCATGAACTTCCACTTGTAAGGTTAAGAATCATAGGGAAGAGCAGTTTGTGGTCTAGTGCTTGGTGAGTGGTACTGGTTGCTGTAATTCTGTGTGTATGTACGGTACTGGCTGCTGTCATTCTGTGTGTATGTACGGTACTGGCTGCTGTCATTCTGTGTGTATGTACGGTACTGGTTGCTGTCATTCTGTGTGTATGTACGGTACTGGCTGCTATCATTCTGTGTGTATGTACGGTACTGGCTGCTGTCATTCTGTGTGTATGTACAATGTCTTTAATTAAATGTTCCTCGTTTAATAAAAATCCAGTGTCTGCTGGTTTAGTACTTACCTGTCCATAATTCACAGCCATTTCTTAAAAACATGCCTCTGGGCATGCACATCCATTTTGCAGATCTGACTATGTATGCAGAGTGTTGGTTCTTTGCCTCTCGGGCAGATGCACTCCAGCTTTGAAGGAAGACCCCAATTAGTCGACTGCTTGTTTGGGAGGCAATGGGTCTATTCTAGTTCTCCCCCATAGTGGTGCCCTAGAACTGACATGGGAAGTCTGTAGTTAAATAGTTTTTTGTTTTTTGGGTTAGATGCAAGATATGTTTCATTCCACAATAACTAGGCTGTGAAATGTAGTCGGTCAAAGGTCAAAGCAAGTCAAAAACCCAGACAACAGAAACATCCCCTTGTTAAGTTAGAAGGTTAAAGGTTAGATGGGCTGACAGCACCATAATCACCATGTCTGCAGCTAGTCAGGTGAGATATTAGGTCCTACATTTATCTAGAATACTAGGTAACTATGATAGTGTTTGTAAGTGAACACTCAGCCGTGCTGAATACACAGACCTGACATGGAGAGAGGCACGAAATATACAATGATGAAAGACCAAATTGGCATTGGTAAAGATAACAAAGGGGCCGAAGTACTTTAGTTCCTGGAGATTTGGAAGATAGGGCCATAGAGACAAACTAAAACAAACAGTGCTCAAAGCAATGATCTAACTAAACAACCTGAACAAACAGATTAATAAAAATGACCCTTTTCCACTCCCTTAGGCGCACTGGATATATGGTGCTAGACCCAAATTTTACAGACCAATCAGCACTCAGTGGGCGATGTGGTCAACATCATGCCGGCTGCCTTTACCTCCCAGGACTTAACCTGGTACCCATTTTATGTTGGGTCAACCTGGGAGACAAGATTGCTGGGGGGGGGGGGGAAATTCACCTTGATGCAGATTTAAACCCACAACCTTCATACCCACAAGCCGCATCTAGCCACGGTGGCTTCCAAAAAGATTTGATAGATAGCAACAACAACAACAAAGAGATGATTTGTTTAGCCACTGTAAAGTACAAGACAGAACTGATATCCAAAAGATTGGTGTTGAAGATTTAAGGGACTGAATAGCCTGATCTGAAATATGATTATCAAAAAGGACAGTTGGAAATCAGTTGCACCCAATCATGACTGCTTCTTTTTTCTGCCCTTCTAACAGTGCAGTGGCACACTGTTTTGTGGTTTATAGATAGGCTGCAATGTCTGCACCTTTAAGCTTATCTCCTAATTAGTTCACTTTTATAACATGCTTGTTTGGGAAGGGGTGGGGGAGAAGGGGCACAATGGGTCTATTCCTTTTTCTACCAGGAGCCCACAAAGGAATGATGATATCAGGAGGAGAGCTGGCATAGAACCACCTATAGTGAACTTTATCAGTAGACAGCAGATCAAATGGTTTGGCCATGTAACAAGTCTGGTATCAGACAGGACACCACAGAGAACAATGTTATACAGATACAGTGGTAACAGAGCCAGGGGTTGATCAGGCAGAAAATAAACAAAGCAAGCAGAAGGGCCTGGGCCCGTTCCAGAGATCTCTTCCTGTCCTGACGCTGTGAGGCATTCCAGGAGTAAAGAAAAGAAGAAGAAGAAGGAAAAGAACTCACAAATGGTGCCTTATCATACAAGTGGTAGCCTCACTTTCTATGTGCTGACTTTGTATCAGTCTATCATGTGATACTTTGAGTTACTGGGTAAAGCTAATTGTTGGCATCACACAGTCAACTATACATCTAACACATGACAGAAGAGTAAGTACCCTCCATATACTTCAACACGTTATATGAAAAGATATGAGAAGAACTATGCACCATATCCTGACCTAGAGATGTAATGTCAACATTAGATGGTTAGTAAATGCACGCTGGACAAATTGATTCTAACAGAGAAAATACCCATGTATTTAATATTCCTTCTCACTGAATGCAGTGAACTTCTAAACATCAATAATAAAACTGTTATTAAAAAAACTGTATTTTAGCTGCAACTTTTTTAATTAAAAAAAAGGTGAAAAAGGGGGGGGGGGGGTCTGCAGAGTCTGAATATTGTGTAAATAAAGTAAAGTATGCCGAGAATTTATCAAAAATAGCAGCTTGTGACAAGGTGGGGTTTATTTGTGACCAAACTTCATTATGTTAGCACTGTTTCAATATGGGTGCCAGACAATTCTGTAAGGGGTACTATGGTTAAACTGATACTGACCACATCACAGATGGAGCTCTGCAGGGTACAGGGGAAAAAAATAATCCTGCCAAATTCTCCTTTTATAGAGCAGCCCAGATATTTTTATTTAATGTGTTAATGTTTTAATTTGTTTAAATCATCCCTGATCACTTGCATCATGAGAGTTAATAGACTGAAATAGTTGGGGCAAATTGAAAGAATGTCAGATGACAGAGAAGTAAAAACTGTATACACCAGGGAGATGAATGTTCGTAGACCACGAGGGAGACCAAAAAGAACATGGAGAGATAATGTCCAGACAGACCTGCAAACACTTGGTGTCACAGACTGGAAAGAGAAGGCCAACCAGAGAGATGCGTGGAGATGGGTAATATCTGCAGCAATGAACCTCAAGGGCTCAGAATGCTGAAGAAGTAGGCCAACCAGGAGATAAGTGGAGGCGGGTGATATCTGCAGCAATGAACCTCGAGGGCTCGGAACGCTGAAGAAGTAAGCCAACCAGAGAGATGAGTGAAGGCTGGTGATATCTGCAGCAATGAACCTCAAGGGCTCGGAATGCTGAAGAAGAAGAAGAAGTGTTAATGTTTTAGAAGCACTAGATTCTCCATGTTCGTACCAGGGTCTCATTTTGAGGAAAGAGGGGTGGGGGGGGGGGGGGGGGGGAGAACCGACCCACTGCTCTCATAACAAGAATGTTGCAGGAGGCAACTAAATAGGGGCATTTCCTTCTAAGTCACACTGCTCTGGAGGTGAGGAACCAACAGCCTGCATATAAATAAACAAGATCTGTAAAACAGATGCGCATGCAAAACTAAAATTCTTGAACCAAAGTACAGAAGTGGATGAGCATTCAGTACTTTATGTCAGTGTTAACAGCCGCTGAAAGCTATGAAGAAAAAGAGAATCACTGGGTTTAAGAAAGTTAAAACAAAACTCCAAAACAATGGACAGCTGAAGGACTGACGACACTGTCTTATGCAATAGCTACAGTTAAAACACAACAGATGATGAGAAGTACTAAGCCCCACATTATGTCCAGAACTGCTGTGTAACCGTGACCAAGTTTGTACATAACGTGAATAAATCTACAACAGAGATTCTTAACCACCGTTCAAAGATCTTTAAGTGCCAATATCACCGCCTAGCTGTGAACCCCAGCACAATGTACTAACCACCCTTTTGAGGATGAACAGAGAAGAAGATATATGCTATAAACAGCTTCGACATTAATAGATAGAAGAAAATGCTTTTCTGTTAGTGATAATTCATTATGAAGTGTTCCGCTCTAGTACTCCATCTGTGGTCTGGTATTGTTTAATTCAACTCAAGAGATGTCACTTTTATAAAGTAATGTCAGAAGATCTTTCTTTCTGCATCTCCATGTGGGTGGATCAAGAAGAGCATACAAGTGCTATGACATCAACAATTTCAAAACATTCCACAAAGAACACAAACTGCCAATTATAAATGCACGCCTCATTGAAGATTACAACAATGATAATAGTTGTTCCCCACCACATATAATTGTATCATTTCAGCCAGCTGCCTGTAGAATAATTTTTTTTTTTTTTAAATTAATCAATTTATTTGACTTGTTTACATCTCCCCATTTTTTCATAATTTAACCTTTCCTGTCCCTATTTCCCCCCCCCCCCTCCCCCACATAATTATATATTTCTTCATTTCACGTTGACCCTAGTTGTTTGGAAGGTCTGTTGTCTTGTCCATTTGGTTTTCAAGTCAATTTGTGTTGTATGCAGTACTCTGTTGAATGCTTTTACTGACCCCAAAACATCTAGAAATGGCTCCAACCCCAACCAACGAGAGAGTGCAGCCTAGGTCCCAAAACTGCATGCAGCCTATCTACCACCCCCTGAAATATTAGACTGTCCCGTGACCTGTGGATTTCCCCTGTTTTGGGTAGGATATTAGGAAAGCACCTTTTTCACCACTGTCTGAGAAAGCTAGGTGTTCAACCACCCATCCTAGAATCAGGATGGAGTATACCACATCCTGTTTCTTCTTCTTTTAGTTATCAAATCTCTACTATGAAATGAAATGAGGTATGCATGAGCCTGATATACCCCCCCCCCCCCCCCCCCCCCCACTTATTAGTGCAGTATGACACCAAACAAAAGCCATATTTGATGTTACCTGTGTAGGATAGGAGACATGTTGTAAAGAGTGGTTGCTGGCCAACATGGCACCGAGGTATGTTAGTGAGCAGATGGCGTACAGGCTGCTAGGGGTGTTATCTTTCTCTTTGGCAAAGAAGTACATTGCTGCAGATACAACAAATCAATGCCCATTCACACACAAAATGAACCAGGTCTGGCTAAAATGTTAAAACTAAAAATAACTATAATGAAAGTAAAAGAGTCCATTCACACAAACCTGCATGCATTGCCATCATTCAGTGCTTTACCCAATGGTGTCTTTTTCACTTCCTCTTATACCTACTACTCTGAGTGTCCAGATACTGTAGGCATTCATGTATCTTCACAGACCTCTGTCTTTGGTGTGCTGGACCAATTATGTTACTAACACATCTCTGTACTACTATCTTAACCTTCAACATCACTTCTCCAAGTCTACTTCTTTTAGCACAGGTGTGTGCAGTTTCAATCATTTTTCTCATTCAAGGCAATGTTTTCCCATTGTGAAATTGAACAAAGAAGACCAAACAATACACAGCACAATTTAATGCCTGGCATATTTCGCAGTATCTTATTACTGTAGTATGCACCTGACTAGACAAAGTGAGGCAATACATTGTGCATTTCTACTGTTTGTGTGTTTTTGTCTGATTTCTCTTATTGTCACATGATCAAAGTATCTTTCTTTTGGTTGTGAATTTTGTTCAACTTTCAACAGTCTTTTCTACGCAACTGTTGTTACTCTGGTTGTCCAACATCCATCTCAGAAATCACATTTCTGCCTGCTTGAAGCTCTTCTTAATTTGTCCATTTACAATCTAGGACTCAGTCATACTGACATACTGGTTCCATAAAAGACTGCAATACTCTCTTTCCGACTCTACATTCTATAATCATCATCAAGTGAATTGCAAGCTGGCGTAGGCATTCATGCAACTCCACAGATCAGGGTCTTTGGTGTCCTGGACCAATTTCACTGATTATATTCATCCATTCCATTTTTTAAAGCCATCTACCATGATCCTCTTGGTCTGCCTCTGCCTCTTCTACTAGTGATCTTTTATAGTCGTCACAATATTTTCCAGTGCTCCTTTTCTCATCAAATGACCAAAGAACTCTGTTTGTCTCCTTCTCATTGTTGTATATGTTGTACTTTAATTAGCCATTTCCAGGCATTCATTGATAGTTATTCTGACAGTCCAAGGTATTCGAAACATTCTTCTCAAGAACCACAACATTCAATAATATAAATATAAATACAACAAATCCATAATGCACTCACTTTAACCTAACAGCACAATTAAAACAGATAACTATAAATGCAACAACAAAACACTCAATACACATTTTTTTTTCTTCAATTGTGCTATCTCCACATTGGACATTAGCTGCAATGTATCCTCTGCTAACTATGGAAATATTACACAGTGAATCCTGCTTCTCTTAGACAGTTGGCTTTAGGTGAATATAGTTGATAGGAAGGTTAACTGTTTGTAGTTGTGTCTATTTTTGCTTTTGACAATATTTAGCCGTTGCACTTTCTGCCATATAAAGACTAAAAAGATATAGTTCAACTGCCCAACTTCTGAGTTGAGAGCGGTGACAGGATCATGACTCTCTCACAACTTTCTGAAAGCCATGGTAAGTCCTCTTCTTATGGGAATTAGGCCCACCAAAACACTGAATGTGGCAGTGTGAAACAACTTTACTACCCATAAGCCATAAACTGCACATTACATGTCAGTAAAAGATATATCTATAAATACAACTCAACAATGCATTCGCATATTTATAGCATTCATGTAAAACACACAATAATAAATAAAACACCCCAAAAACACACTCAACTAACATTACACGTCAAACATATAACTATAAACATGATAAATCAACTGCTTCAAATGGTTACTTCAGGAGTTCCAGAATTTTCTGGAAATTATCTGGCTAGAAAATGAAGAAAGGAACTGGTACCTTAACTCATGAAATAAGAACCTTGTATATATATTTAAATATGAAGTGACTCTATGAAAATGTTTCAGAAAATCCCTACAGGTAGTCTCTGCTCCGAATGGTTAGAAAGCATTTGGAAGTCGCAGTTAACCTCCATTATCTGGATCTACACACCTGGGCACGAAGGAGTAAATGGTAATGAAAGAGCTAACCAGCTGGCAGGTAATGCACCAATGCAAATGGGTAAAAGCATGGACAGAGCTGATATCATCAACGCCGTACGGATTAGGTTGGGAGATAATGGCGAATCTCTGATGCTAACACAACTTCGTAACCGAGAAGTTAAGCTTGGTGAAGCACGACTATGCCATCTTAGAGGTAAAAACAGGAGCACTATGGTGGAAGCCAAAGAAGATAAATAAACTAAAGAACTGGTGTTATCAGCTGCTACACGCAGTGGGATTTACTAAAGAAGGGTTATGAGCACTTTTGAGCTGAACAGTTCAGTGTGCTATGAGGATTATTTGCTGATTAACTAATTAATGACTGAATTCAAGACTCAAATATACATCAACTCACCAAGTTTTGCATAGAGTGCATTGATAATGCACTGCACAAATACAAGTGATAAAGTATACTGGAATTTTTCCTGTTTTTCTCCTTCACCATATTTTCCTTTGGTGCTGCAAAAGAAGAAAAGCAGACAAAAAATGCATCAGGCACTAACATGTGAAAACAGGGATATAAGTGTCTATACAACAAAGTCATCCAGAATTTCAATAAGACAAAGACTGACCAGTCTATATAAGAAACTGCTAGAAGACACATTTAGGAACATACTGCAAATAATCCCCAACAAATAAAACAAAACAAGAAATGAGGGAAACTCAATCCTAAGGAAGAAAAATATGGGCTTAAGAACTGAAATGCTACAGAAAGTTCTCAGAATAGCATGGAAAAAGCAGAAAAGACACTAACATCCTAAAAGATCTGAATGCCAAGGAAGATACGCTAGCAAACAGCATCTTGTCTTTGGAGATGAAATATTTTGCCCACATTAAGCCCCTTGAAGATTTGAAAAAAAAAAATATATCAGAAGGTGTGGTGCCAGGAAAGACTGGCAGGAGCTGAACAGCAAGAAGATTAGGACAGGATATAAGTGACATCTTTGGCTGGAAAGTGCAAGGAAGTGGGAAAGCTGGTAAGAGACCGACTTTCTTTCAGGCAGGCCGTAATAATAGTGACATTCTGTAGAGGACCTGCTACATGATGATGATGATGAAGAAAACTACAGGAGGGGCTGGTACAGTATGGTCAAGGACCAATGTTTTTCACTGAGGGATTCGAAGTAAAAAAAAAAACGGCTTTAACATATTTTTACATGTCCCAAATGTAATGACGGAAGTTCTGGTTGTTCGTCCACTTCTGGACTCTAGTCCTGCTCTACAAACTGAGTGTTGCCTGCACATTTGTTACACAGGTCTGACTCATTTGCATGCAGACTGTTAGTTCCTTGCCTCTGAGGCAAATGTACTCTTGACTTCAAAGGAAGCTACCAATTAGTCAACTCTTATGACATGCTTTTGGACAGGCAGTGGATCTATTCATGTTTTTCCCACAATGGGGTCCCGCAACCCACACATGGATATCCAAAATGAACTGAGTATATACTACAGAGGTCTCATGTGAGAACCACAGTGAACCGTAAACTAGACCAGCAGTCTAAGTTAATAAAAGACTGTTAAATTACTTCTTGTGACTGTGGGTAACTCAAAGGTTACTCTACATCTGACAAATAGGCTATGAGTGAACAATGTCCAGAAACATAATGTCAAACAAAGTTCCTGGCCATCTGCCAACCAAATTATTTCTCAACATGACATTACAAAATCTGTGGCATGACATTTGTCTTGCAGGCACTAAACTTAAATGCATGACATTAAATAATTAGGGCACTGGAGTTCAGTGGTTAGACAAGTCATCTGTAACTTGTTATATTTGGATGCCAGAATGTGTATCTTTCTGTATATCTGGCTTTATTTCTGCCTTAATTTGCTGGGACAACAACTGAATTAATTGATTAAACTGGCCTTACATGCTTAGGTTGTCTGAAACATGTGGCATGAGTGAGGGAAAATGATTGGGGGGGGGGGGGAAGGGGGGGGGGTGTGGAATAACAGATCCACTGTCACTTTAAGAAATATGCATTAAAGGTGACTAATTACAGGTTTGCTGAAACTGGATGTATTGGATTAAAAGGTGCAGATATCACAGCCTAGCTGAAAACCATTAACATGTCGAATACCATTTAAAGGTGGTGGCAACAGCATATTTTCCTCTCCCTGAGATTGTTGCCTGAAAGACTGACACTTAGTAATTCAAAGAGTCATTCTTCAGATCCAAATTCAATAATAGAAAATCCCAGCCATCATGCTCTACAAGAATAAAAAATGTCACTTCTGTCTGTGTTTACCACTTTTTTTGTAGGGCGGTACAGTTGAGGGGTGGTTGTGAGCCTGAGAATTTAGAGCCACATGGCTAATGCTGTCGCCACTGTCCTTGCAGGCTAGGATGTTTAATTCTGCTCCTGATAGAAAAATTCCATCACTTTACCAGGGTCGAATCCGGGTTGCCCACATGCGAGCTCGACGTTGTAACTACTTGTTTAGCCACTCCTCCTGTTTAACTGTATCATTAAAGCACCCTAGGATAACAAGGTAACCCGTTGTCCCATGGGTTGGGTATAATGGTGCCTCATACAGCAGCCGGTTTTTTTACAGCAAAGCTGCCAAACATTTGTACCTCTAAGTCAATAATATGTTCTGCGGAGCTGCAGTAACTGGAGTTGCAGTAAGAAACAAAAGAATGAACTTTATTTCCAATGGGTTAAGCATTTGGTATGTAGTCCTATCTAATATTCTGCCATTCTAATCTGCCTCGTTTCATACATTATTTCATTCATACACATGTTAACAGGTAATACTCAAAATTATCAACAGCAACTAAATATAACATACAAGCAGTGTTCTCATGTTGATTTTGGTGCCCTATTTTGGGGACAAGGAACCAACAATCTGCATACAAATAAGTCAGATCTGTAAAACATCCAGGCCACAAGAAGGATGATACATACTACCAACTTGACCGAAGAGAACAATTAGTGATCTTTAGACTCCTCACAGGACAAAACATGCTGAAACACAATTTATTTAATAAGCTAAAGATAGAAGACACATGATTTAAACTGTGGAAATTTTTAAATGTCTGGTCTGGTAGTCTTAGTTTCAGCTTCATAGCAAACGGGTTGCCCCATCTTTGCTCCGCTCCTGTGCCAGCGAAAAACACTCAGAATGTCTATCACAGTCCCTTGTGGAAAGATTGACAGACTGCTGTCTCAGCATATCTAGCATACACTCGCATTAAAGCATATGGTAGCCATCCGAAGTGCTAACACAAACAGTCCAACATTAGAAATGCAGTTCATCATTGATGATAGCAGAACTTGTCGTCAACAGATCAGCAGTTGTCCGCGTGATCAATTTTAATACGGGCCCCGCCAGCATTGAACGACAGGCATCGCGCCATTTTCTGAATTTTTAAATGTATTCAAACTGATGTCTTGAGGTATCAGGAACAGAAAACTGTCAGGGACTGTCAGAACCGATAGTCCCTAGAGATGTAGTGTTCATAGACCATGACATGGGAAGAAAATGAAACAGATCCGTCTGTCCATATACTCCCTTACTGGATGCCCTAGGCATCAATGTGGGAAATGTCATATGAAACTATAGTGGATGCAAAAAACCACTGCAGTAAAAGTCTAACATGCAAAAGAAGCAAAATACACATTTTTGTGCAGGTATATCAAATACCAGGTCTGCAGGTTGCCTACTGCTGGCTTCTATAGACACAGCCTGTGATGAATGAGATGTTGAATATATGGAAGTGAGGTTAATCAGTTGTGAGCAGGACACAACGAATCCTGGGGTGAATCAAGTACCAGAGCAACATGTATTGGCTCTGCATTTACGGAAGCCTCCTCGGATGGCATGAATGCTCATGTTCTGCACCTGCCTTCTCTTAACTCTTTAAGGCCCAATCAACGGTGTGAGCGTTGATTGAGAAGTTCCGTTTTGCCCAAACAACGCTGTCATCGCCGATCGTGTATCCCGTACATTTTGCTTCGCACACGGCTCCATACATGTTTCAAATGTTTGCAAGTACGATTAAACTATTCAGGGAAAGTCACTCTGCCGAAATCCTTTCAAATACATTCCTTATCAGAAAACATGCATGCATAATTTGATCGGATTCATTTTTTTCAACAGTGCCATGAATACCAATGTTCCCACCACAAGTACAGGTCGCAGAATGCGTCTTTCTGCTGCCAAAGTTCTGATATTGTTTCAGTCAGATGTTTTTAATTCTGATAATGATAATGAAAAAACACAACAGCCAGAAAGTGCTGGGGTTGGTTCTGCAGCGTTCTGTAAAATTTATGCAACTAATTAAAATTAAATTATAATGAAAATTTAGATTTTTGGGAAAGTGATTCAGACAGTGATTTTTCACCAGTGAAGCTGAGGGATCAGCTGTTCTAAATCTAGCAATTCTGATATGTTTATTACACAGATAATGACCTATTGCTACAGTATTTATGGTGTAAGAGAAGGAAAGTTCTCTAAACAAAGAGATTGTACTAAACTAGGATAAGCTACATGGAAATCATCGCAGTCACAGTCTGTATATAACTGTACAAAGTAAATAGCAAATAGCGTGTGTGTAATGGCTCATTTTTCTGCCATTATTCTCTCTGAAATTTTGCTTAGCACTCTGTAAGAACTAAGAGCCCCTAAGTGCTAAACTAACCCAGAAACTTATCATAACTGGAATTTGTTAGGAAATTAAACAAACTTTAAAGCTTTGTTCTCAAATTTAGATATTCACTACTCTTGTGGCTGCAAAATCATGGTAAGTGAAGAATTTGTTTGTAAAATGTTGTTGTTGTGAAATTAACACCTGCTGAATTCTTCTTTCCTACTAACTATAAACAAATTAAACATACACTTATCATCAGATTCAAAATTTACATTCATTTCTCTTTAAAAAATATATACTTTTATTAGGATTGGAAGTATATTACATTATCTAGTGCCTTTCTTGTACACCTACCCCTCTGTCATTTTTGTAAAGGGAAATTTAAGTGGGCCAAGTCTGTCAAAATTTATGGGCCTGAAAGAGTTAGAGACTTCTCTAGATTGGCCTAATGTGGGGCCCAACCTGTGACCTAGGAAACAAAGATGACCATACAATGTTGGCCAGAAGCGGCAGTGACATGGTACAACCAAATAGCGACTTAACCCACCAAGAGATGAAAACACTAATACAATCTAGTATCCAAGAAAGGTGGCTGGATACCCACACCAGATTTTCTCCCCAAGACTCACTTCATCGCCTCTCTAGAGAGGGACAGTCTATTATATTCAGACTAAGGACAGGGCACAACAGATTTCGTCAACATATGTTCAAATTTTTCGGTGTAGGAAATACGGAGACGTGTCCATGCAGCGTGGCACCCGAAAATGCTGAGCATGTGCTCCAACACTGTCAACTGTATGCTGACAACAGAGACACAATCTGGCCTGTTCCAACCACACTGAAGACAAAACTGTATGGTACACGAGAGGATATGGATTGCACGATAGCTTTCATAAAGGCTACCGGCCTCCTGATATAAGTTTTCTGACAGAAGGATCGAAGAAGAAGAAGAAGAAGAAGAAGAAGAAGAAGAAGAAGAAGAAGAAGAAGAAGAAGAAGAAGAAGAAGAAGAATGATGAGACTGCAATGCCCACAAAACTAACTGGGAAGGCTAACCTGGTCAACAAATGCCTGCAAATGTTGGATTTGTCAGCTGACAGGTCTGATAGGTGCAAATATAGCAGCCATGTTGTAAACGGGCACAATTCAATTACATGCTATCCTCCGAATAACGGTCCCAAATTATCAAGGCAAAAAATTTACCCTAACAGGGCCTCAGTCACATGTAAATTGTGGACCTCTTTCTGACGACTACACAGCAAACCGCAGAAAAGCTTCTTCCGAGTTAAAGTCACTGCCGAGAGTTTCCTCCGTGCCGTGGAGTGGGGCTAAACTAGATGGCTGGGACTCACGAGCAGCAGCTACCGCATCTCCTGCAGCTTCCTTCATTTTATTTGCTTGTGAGTCCCAGCCATCTAGTTTAGCCCCACTCCGTGCAACTCATAGTGGCCCGGGAGATACTCTCAGTGGTGGCGGTATAGTCGCCAGAAAGAGGTCCGCAATTTACATGTGACTGAGGTCCTGTTAGGATATATTTTTGGCCTTGATAATTTGGGACTGTGTTATTTGGAGGATAGCCCAATTACATCCTTGGATGAACACAGAAGAAAAAGAATGGTACTTTACAACTTTCTGTATGAATGGGAAACGAACATAACTTATGTTTTGTACAAATTAACTCTAGGATTTATTGTCCTAAGCATACTATTACTGCTCCATAATAGGCTGTGCTACTGTGCTTTTTTTCCCGTTTGGAAATATAACAAAGTTCCATATAGAGTAGGAAGCAGAAGTGCAGGATTCCGATTAGCCAAGCTTACTTTATTTTAACTGTAGACACCCATGAAATTACAGAGTTTAAGTGAACGCATTAATGTGTTAATTAATATTATTAATGGTTGGAAATGGTGAATAATTTTTCGCAATTAATATTGATCACGATTATTTTTAAAAAATAACAACCACCGAGTCACTGGTACTACTGTACTACTTACTGGTACGTTTCACAACAATCAAAGATCTGGTGGAAATATCTTCACAAAAAACCTTGCTTACTTTTAGTATTTTGCATCTGTCATAATCATGCAATGAAGTTCTGTGAATGCATAATTCACAATAGGATTAAATATTGTGTATCTAAAAAAGAAATAACAAGAGAAAGTAAATAAATCAATAATTAATAATATTCATGTTCTGTTGAGTAAACAAACTCACATTTTCTCTTGCAAAATCCCATAGTAAAAATAGCAGAAGAAAATCCCGGCCGCACAAAATATCAACTTCTTAGTACTGGCTTCCCCCATGGTAATTTCTTTAGGTTTTTCACCACTTGCTAGGACACCTGGAGCTGAATGAACAGCCTCTATATCTGACATATAACTTATATACCGGAGACAAAACTAGGGCCTAGGTATCGATGAAATTGGGACCGGGAGACGTCTCAAACGTGTCGTCTGTACGTAGCCTTTAGGGTTGACTTCCGGTGTTGGACGCTTGCAGAAACCGACTTGGAGAGGTTTGATTGGTTGAAAACAGCGGTAGGCGTGTTTAAAGAGGTGTTAGCAACGTGAATATCGCAGCAGAGGGAGAGATATTAGAATAAGTGTCAAGTTTCTTCTATCTTGGACACGTAATAACAGATGATGGTAGAAATGAAACAGAAATCAGGAAAAGAATATGAATGGCTAAAACTATCTTCAATGTTATGCAAAACTTACTGACAGCTACAGAGAAAAACAAATATTAACAGGCGTTAAAAAAAGCATCTGATAAATACGTCATTCGTACCAACTTATGTTCTTTCAATGTCAGACATGAGCAGTCCTAGAAAAACATAAACGCAAAATTACAACACGTGAGAGCAGATGTGTAAGAAAAACTGCGGGAAAAACAAGAAGAGACAGGGTCACCAACGAAGAACTATGAATAATGGTAGGCACAGTACTGGTAAATGATTTCGCAGAACATCAAAGAATCAAATGGTTTGGTCATCTGGTCAGATTGGAACTTCTTTTGCGTTCGACATCACCTTCTCATCATATGTTCTAATAATGCAGATTGTCTCTTTCTTATTAGGGCAATCAGTTCTCTTCGTGAGTTAGTTTCTTTCAAGATATCTTCATTACTCATTTTATCTGTCCATACCATACCTCCGCCGCTATCAAATAACTTTTCCTTAATTGACCAGCTGTCCATTCATTATAAACTTTCCACCCAACATGAATCCGTAGGCTACAACGTAGGCTGTCTATCATTACTGTTATACGGTTGACTGAGGTTTCCGGGATGTGCTCCTCTTTGGTTCTCTCCCTTGAGGTGTTAATCCGACTTAACAGCAATCTTCGACATGAACGATGACACGACCTGACAGCTGTTCCTTCAACGCTATCTCAAAGTTGGTGTACTTTATTGCAGCAATAATATAGTATCGATGAATTATACTAGTCAGAACTCAGAGCAGCTTCAGTTTAAAAATACGATGATAGAGTAAATAATGTAGCAGAAGAATGTTTCGGAGGAGGTCAGGCAATAACATATACAGCAGTGTTGCCTAACCTTTCTCGTGCCATGCCCCACACTGAGTGAGTGAGTGACTTTCTACCCCACTAGGACACCACACAAGCGATAAACACCCGATGACACAACGTGCCACCATGTGGATGGGGATCGCCCCACACTGAAGCCTTTCTAAAATTATTATACCCCCTAATCAGCCACCCCATTGTGGGATGCAATTTTTCGTTATTTTGAAGCCCCATCCTGATTCTTGCCAGAGACCGCAATATAGCCCGACCATAAATATGGTCTCATGGCTGAACGCGGTTTCTGGGACCTCTCCGCGGGTGATTCTCATCCACGTGGTGGCACTTTGTATCATCGGGTGTTTATCGCTTGTGTGATGTCCTGGTGGGGTAAAATGCACTAATACTACTATTATACCCCCTATGCGACATCGCTATAGGGTTAACTTAAACTAAACCCAAACTATGGACGAGTCCATTTTCGAATACCCCCCCCCCCCCCCCCCATCAAATTGCCATCCCTTTTTTTCCCGTGTGACGTAGGCCTGACATTAGGAAATTCTGATATACAGAGTAATTGGGGCTTTAAAAAAAATGGTGCCAGTACTCACCGCAAAGTACCCACACACAAAAATGTTGCCGATATAAAAAAAAAACATGAGATAATCAGTAAAGGTGGGGTGAGCTCTCTGGTACTGCAAACGCAAACTAATTGATTCTCAAACTCTTTAACTTTTCGCCCCGTTTCAGTATCAAGTAATTTACTATGCTTTTATTGTAGATGTTCAGTACCTCATTCAGCTACAGTTTTAAACCATTCTGTCTGTCGTATGGCAGTTTTGTCGCGCAACTTTACTTACGGAATATTTTCACAAATCCCAAAGGTGCTCTGAGACAGGGGTGTTTTGAATGGTGGCTCTCGTTCGTCTAGAGGCCTAACCCTCGGTTCAAACTTTCCATTCAACCTGTCTCAGGGATGAGGTGACTCGAGCTCTGACTCCACAGGGTTATTATGAACACTTGGGTACCTGTTGGCCAGACGTCCTCATCACTATTTTGCCCCCAGACTGGTACACAACGTAACACAGTCAAACAAGTAAACAACAGTGAATATGACAAGACGTGAATACCTTTCTGACTATGACAATTAATTCACCACAGCGACTTAGCTAAGAACAGCAAGACTGGTGAACTATAAATTACTGTAATAATTACTTCATAACAAGAAAGATCAAAAGAAGCATACAGAATTTGAATGATTGTTGAATTCTCTAAAGAACATAGATGGAGAACAAGTCTTGCTATAAATCTACGTCTCTTCCCGGGATCATCACTGCGAGGAGGCAGGAGACAGATTATGAAGGCACATTTGGAATCTAGCTGCCATGTAGTGTTACTTAAACTTATCTCGTTGGATCTTGAAATTTGCAACGACTCGCTCCTCAGACGACCTCCACCCAATCGATAATGTCTCTGGAATTGATCACAGGACAATCATATGCCCAGAGACGGTTAGACGTAGACTTAGCACGCAGTCTTCATCTTCAGTAATAGATGAATAACTCACATCAGTCGCTTCCCTGGTGTTGGTGGGTGGAACAGTATGACAGCACCACAGACACTTGTTGGATGGTGGACGAGTACTATTATGCCTCGGACACTAGTTGGTAGGTGGAACAGTATGACAGCACCACAGACACTTGGTGGATGGTGGACGAGTACTATTATGCCTCGGACACTAGTTGGTAGGTGGAACAGTATGACAGCACCACAGACACTTGTTGGATGGTGGACGAGTAGCCTACTATTATGCCTCGGACACTAGTTGGTAGGTGGAACAGTATGACAGCACCACAGACACTTGCTGGATCTTCAAAAATCCCATGATAAATGAAAAGAGAATTAAGAATCTTGTCTTTTTAACGGTCAAGTGGCAACAACAAGGGAATGCGTCTGCCTCATAGACCGGACTATAGAGAAGTGACGCATAAAAATACAGTCCCCATCTACCGCAGTTGGTGTAAGAATCCTGCTCACGTATGCGGTGCATCGGTCAGACAATTTATTTTAAATAGGCGTAGAAAATGTGTCCTAACGTGTAAATTGACACTAAAAGCCTAAAAGAATCAATATCAGAGTGAATTATAGGGATTTTTCTTATCTGGACTCCCCCACAACAAACGCACTGTATAACTACGGTCGGCCTATCCTATATCATAGTTACAATGACGATTTTGGGGGTGTTCAGACTGTGGACCTGCCTAATGCGGTAGGTGTGTGGATTCTGTCATGCGACACTGTCTCAGTCGTTAATTCCGTTCCACTTGTCCGACAAGGTCGTTATTTGAACTCCTTCATATCCAACGCTTATTACTTTCAAGCAATTACTTTACAACGGAGACGACACCAGTTTCCCTTAGCAACATTTGTATTACATACAACAATAACATAGAATAAAGAATGATAATATTAAAAAAAAAATTAAAAAAAATTTAAAGTAATGTGTGTGGCGTGTTATATTATTACCTTAATAATCGTTATTATTAATAACTAAATAATTGTTATTATTAATAACTTAATGATCGTCATTTTAATAACTTAATAATCATTATTATTAATAACTTAATAATCGTTATTATTAATAACTTAACGATCGTTATTTTTAATAACCTAATAATCATTATTATTAATAACTTAATAATCGTTATTATTAATAACTTAATAATCGTTATTCCCCCCCCCCCCCCCTCACCTCCTTGGATCGACCCTAATAGAATCAGTACACTATATTCACGGCTCTACCGTCTTTATTTGAGATGCCTTCCTGAGTGAGTTCCGGGATTTCCATTTGGGTAGGGAAAGAGTGAAGAAAAGACCCAATGTCCCTAGAAGTATGAAGGCGACTCATTAGAGAAGTCAAAATGCATCTGCTTGACAAGCGATGAACCAACAGTCTGTATACAAGTAAGCCAGATCACGTCTGACTCGAGCTAATAATAAATAGCTCAAGTCGGACGGGGCCAGATCTGTAAAGCGGATGCGCACCAACAAAATCAAGTTGTAGAAAAAGAACAAAGTGCAGAAGTGGACGACCAACCAGAACTCTTCACCAGAGTCTGCAGACGGTGAACGCTAAGAAGAAGCAGCAGCAGCAGCACATTTGTCATGCCGAAAAGCTTAGGCGGTTTTCTCAGGTGTGTAATTTCCCATCATCATCATCATCATCATCAGGTGCCTTGTCGACTGGCGTGGGCGATCATGCCTCTCCATAATCTGCGATCTCCTGCAGCATGTATCAGTTCGTGTGCCGACACACCTCCATGTCATGCAACAAGACTGTCAAGCATCTTCTCTCGTTGTCTTCCTCTATCTCTCCTTCCACATATCTTTCCAGTGGTCACAACATGTTCTATTTTCCCTCTTCTCATTTTCACAACACCACCAAAATAATGGATCACGTCTGTGTTCTTATTCCGCTTATAGTATGTTACCAAGCAGTAAAAGAATTTAAATTGTCTTTCTATCTTATCCTTGCTCTTTTCTTAAGTAGGCACTCTTAAAAAAAATGCTATGATTAGCCATGTCTATATTATATTATTCCTCCAAAAGTGTGGAATGTGGAAAGAATTTGTGCCCAGCCATATTTGCAACACATAAATGTGCTGCGTAAATTTACGTTAAACTAGCATATGTCAGATATGCACACATAAATTCATCTGTGTTATTTTAAAGTGACAGGTGTTTTTATATCTTTCCAATAGTGTATACTATTTAGTGCCCAATCTTCACATTTTCCCTACTGTCCCGTGAGGACGAACGAGTGCATTTGAATTTATTATTTATACTTACTCCGT